GGTTGAAATGAGCACCCGCGTCGCGGTGGGTCCACACCTTACAAAGCCTTTCCTGAGTGGTTCCCCACCCTCGCTCGGCTCAGGGGATACCTGCCCGAGGGTCTTAAGAGCCTGATCCCGAATTGCCAGCGGCGGAGACCCTTCGTTAGGGGTTTTAACGGGGCAGCCTTGCTGTCTCGGACGCGAGCGGGGACCCTGAAACAAAGCACGGCGTAAGGACAGGGGACGATGGTCGCTGAGCCCTTCAGGCTGCTGCTTACCCCTTCTCTTGCAGTTTTGGTTTCTCCGCGAGGTCGCATGTCGCTTTTTGGGGTCTTCTGGAAGAAAAGAGTGGGTTTTTTGGTTCATTTAATATCCTAAGGCATCTTGGAGGAGTTGCTGCCGCACGTGGTGGTGTCTTATCTTGTCCTCCCTCGCTGGAAGCTCTCCAGAGCTCTGGCCATGGCTGATATGTTGGCAATTCCCATTGGAGTCGGCACCCTTTGAGCCCCTTGAGATTTTTGGGGGGTTTTGATAGCCAGGAATAATCTTGGAGAGAAGGGAAGGATGGCGACGGGGTGTCTCATCCCTACGTCGGGCTGTTTCGTGGTGGGTTGTCGGAGCGTGGCCGGCAGCGCTGTTTGCTCTTGGGTTGGCTCAGTCCATTTTCCCCTTTCCCTTTTCCTGGGAAAGACGCTGCAAATACTTGAGGAGGCAGAAAAATCGATTTCTGAAGGGCAGAGCTGCTTGTGAAGGGCAGAGGGAGCGTCTCGGGAAGGCGGTGAGGCAGAAGCGGTCGGTTTTTTGGAAATGTCAAAGCTTATTCAGCGCAGGGAACCATGACTGATGAAGCAGGTAGTGGTTTCGTCGTTGGCTTAAGCTGATCTAGGACCACACTGCTACCGAAAGGCGCAGCCTGAAAGGGTGGTCTAAGCCTGTCCTAGGTTTGTGCTGAGTTTAGGGGCACAGATCGCTCCCTGGGTCCTGATCCCAACCCAGCGGGACGCATGCACGACGGCCCGAGCCACGCATCGAACAGTCTGCACTTGGTGACTGTGGATCTGGCGTTTGTGGATGTTCCCCGATCCGAGTGGGGCGGGATTTTTGGCTTTCTAATTAAAACCAGCTCCCAGAACCAGCACTTAGGGAAAGCGGAAGGAAAGTGGTCTGAAATCTGGGCAGGAGGTTTTGTTCTCAGCCCTGCCGTGGAGTTAGGGACCAAAAGAGGAGAAAAAGGAGGAGATTGCCTGAGCCAGGGATGCCTGAGGTGCGTTTCTTTCTCTCAGAACAAGCTCCAGAGCCACTTGGAGCCGCTGAAGAAGAAGCTGGACGCGGTCCTGAAGCAGAAATCCAATGAGGAGGAGAAGATCACGGAGCTGAGGGTAAGAGCCTGGCATAGCGGATGATCCTGCGCGTGATTCCTTTCCACACTTATTCATTTCCCGTTTCTCTGTTTTCCACCTTTCACCCTGCCAAAAAAATAATCCACCCTCAGCTAAGGAGGACGCCGAAATGCCGGCGCTGGGAGCGTGTCTTGGCCCAAAGTCTGGTGAGGGGGATGAGCAGGGAAGCTTTTCCCCCTCTGCCTTGCGGATTTGAGCTCTCGCAGAGGCGTTGCCGTCCCTTTGCTGCAGTCGTTGGGATCACAACGGGGAAGCTGTTTCCCTGCTGAATTAGAGCTTAATTAAGGGGGTTTTGTGCCTGGATGTGTTGTGGGAATTGGTAGCCTGGGAGAGAGAACAAATTGATGTCCTTTGGGTCTGTCACTTGAGCTAAGGATGCCTTTCCTCCCTCTTCCCCGCTCCGCAGGACAAGATGAAGCTGGAAATCAAGGAATTCGAGTCGGATTTTGAGGTGCTGCACCAATTCCTCATCGGGGAGCAGGTCCTGCTCTTACACCAGCTGGAGGAACGCTACGAGAGCTTGCTGGCCCGTCAGAGCAGCAACATCAGCCAGCTGGAAGAGCAGAGCGCTGCCCTCAGCCGGCTCATCGCCGAGGCGGAGGACAAGAGCAAACAGGACGGGCTGCAACTGCTCAAGGTCTTTTTTCTTTTCTTTTTCCTGTCCCTGGGATGGGAAAAGGGAAATTTGTGATCAGGGATCCCAGGAGGAGGGTAGAGCCCTGCTGCCGTGCCGGACAAAGCCTCTCCCAGATGTTTTTAAACCTTCCCAAAGAGCTGTAAACTCGGATGATTCACGTAGTTGATCTCTGGACTGTGAACCCTCGCTCGGCTCTGCGCCGGCAGCTGTAGGAACTCCGGCCCCGCTTTATGGCGAGGAGATAAGGTTAGCGGTGGGAATTAAGCAGAGCTGCCGAGAGGGGAGTGGACCTTGCTTCAAAAGGATCTTCTTCATGGGAGAACGTCCTTACCTGGTGGGCTAGAACCTTCTCCATCCCTCCTGCCAGGGATCCCGCAACATCTGCTGGATCAGAGGGGAAAAACGGGAAGAGAAGGGGACACCCCGGGATTTGCTAGGGTGTCTGCATAGTGGGAAAAGCCTCTACCAAGGGATAAATCCATGGGATATGTCTCTCTGTGGCCTATTCCCATCGCCTGACCGTGGGAGGGGACTCATCCTGTCCCCTGGGGCGGTTGGCTCGTTGCAGCTCAGCACGGTGCTGAGCCGTGGCTGCTAAGAGGATTTAGTGTGAGCCACGGTGGGATCGGCCTCAGTCCTCCCTGATCTTTTCTTTCTTTCTCCCCGCTTCCCACCCGGCTGCCTCCTTTTGCAGGACATCAAAGGCACATTTATCAGGTCAGTGACTTTCCGTTGGCATCTTCTCGCTGTAAATAGCTTTTAAAGGGAAAAAAAAAAAAAACCCAACCCATGAGCTTTTGTTTTAAACCCCGTGCGGTGGGCGCTTTTCCAGGCTGGGGTTGGGTAGTGCGAGGGAAAGCTCGGTAATGGCTGGTGTCAAAATGATCATGGTGGTGGGAACTCCTGGCGGGGTATAAATGGGATTTTTGGGGATGACTGGGGACATACGGGAGAGGAGAAGGGCGGGGAAAAGACCTCGGAATCCCTCGCAGCCGCTTTTTTGGGAGCAGAGCTGGGTCTGCCCGCGCGGACCTCGTGCCCTGGGGAAGCAGGAGCCGCTGGCAAGTCTGGAGGGACCATTTTTTTTTCCCCCCTCATCTTTAAATCGGACAACCAGCCGCTCTTCTAAATCGGCCCCCAGCCGTTCGCCAGCAGGTAACGGAGCCGAGTCGGAGCACGGCCTGGCTGTCCCCAGTGCCGGGTGGACGCGGCTC